TTCCACAAAAAATGAGATTGACTTCATTATGACGACCAGACGACAACTGTTCAGTGATGTCTCCGTGATCGCGAGGGTGAAAACTAGTAGCGAACACCGAATGGTTAGAGGCACACTGAACCTAAACGTTAAGTTGGAGAGGTCTCGTCTAATGAAGTCAACGCTCCGTCCCCCTCGTGCTCTGTTCCAAAGTCCCGAAACCTTTCAGCTCGAGTTACAAAACCGTTTTCAGTGCCTGGAAGACTGCAATGAAGTGGACGATATGAATGACAAGCTCGTGGAAACTGTCCATGCGGTTGGAGCTAAGTTCTGCAAGACCCGCCCCAGAAGAACACAAAAACTCTCCGATCACACTCTTAATCTCATGGCTGTTAGACGGAAGATGAAGATACATTCTTCAACAGACTTGACAGCATACAGGCATCTGAACAGACAGATCTCCAAATGCATGCGGCGGGACTTACGCAACTTCAATACAGCTCGTATTGAAGAAGCGATCGAGCGGAACCAAGGCTCCAAAGTCTTTGCCAGAGATCTGTCTGCCAGAAAGAGCCAACTGTCAAAGCTGAAGACAGAATGTGGCAGTATCGTTTCCGGGACACCTGAGATTTTGAGTGAGATTGAGAGGTTCTATGGGCAGCTGTACACATCATCGTTGGAGCCACACGCAAGTGTGAGTAACGATCCAAGAGCGAGTCTCATCCGACACTATTCCGAAGATATCCCGGATGTCAGTCTGAGCGAGATTAGGATGGCTCTCCAGCACCTTAAAAACGGTAAGGCCCCAAGCGAGGATGGAATTACAACGGAGCTTCTGAAAGCGGGTGGAAGACCGGTACTTGAAGTCCTTCAGAAGCTCTTTAATTCCGTCCTCCATGGTGGCATTACACCGGAGGCGTGGAGCAGAAGTGCAGTGGTCTTGTTCTTCAAGAAAGGTGACAACGCTCTCTTGAAGAACTACAGACCGATTTCCCTTCTGAGCCGCGTCTACGTGCTGTTTTCGAGAGTCATTACGAATCGTCTCGCGCGCAGACTTGACGACTTCCAGCCTCCCGAACAAGCCGGTTTCCGAAAGGGCTTTAGCACCATAGACCACATACATACCCTTCGGCAAGTTGTACAGAAGTCCGAAGAGTACAATTTGCCACTATGTCTGGCGTATGTGGACTATGAGAAAGCCTTTGATTCCGTCGAAATTTGGGCGGTGCTGCAGTCCCTTCAGCGGTGCCAAGTTGACTGTCGGTATATCGAAGTGTTGAAGTGCTTGTACAGTAGGGCTACGATGGCTATCCGAGTACAGAACCAGAGTACGAAACCTATCCAATTGCAGAGAGGTGTAAGACAGGGTGACGTCATATCCCCGAAACTCTTCACCGCTGCATTGGAAGACGTTTTCAAGCTTCTGGACTGGAAAGGATACGGTATCAACGTCAATGGCGAGTACATCACTCACCTTCGATTTGCCGACGATATAGTCCTTATGGCAGAATCGCTGGAGGACCTAAGCACTATGCTCAATGACCTCAATAGTGTTTTCCAACGGATAGGTCTTAAGATGAACATGGACAAAACTAAGATCATGTTTAATGTCCATGTCACACCTATGCCGGTAGTTGTTGGGAACACTAAGCTCGAAGTTGTTGACGAGTATGTTTACCTGGGACAAATAGTCCGACTGGGTAAGTCCAACTTCGACCGAGAGGTCAATCGACGGATTCAACTCGGCTGGGCAGCGTTCGGGAAGCTACGACACATCTTCTCGTCAGACATACCTCAAAACCTTAAAAAGAAATTGTACAACCAGTGCGTGTTGCCAGTGATGACTTACGGAACTGAGACGTGGTCCTTCACTGCTGGCCGTATGAGGAAGTTCAAGGTCGCTCAGCGAGCTATGGAGAGGGCTATGCTCGGAGTTTCTCTGCGTGATAAACTTAGGAATGAGGATATCCGCAGTAGAACCAGAGTGACCGACATAGCCCAACGGATTAGTAAGCTGAAGTGGCAGTGGGCCGGCCATATAGCTTGAAGAACCGACAACCGATGGGGAAGAAAGGTTCTCGAGTGGCAGCCTCGTACCGGTAGGCGAAGTGTAGGGCGTCCCCCCACGAGATGGAGTGACGACCTGGTAAGACATGCAGGAAGTCGATGGATGCAGGTGGCTCAGGACCGTGTTTTGTGGCATTCTTTGGGGGAGGCCTATGTTCAGCAGTGGACTTGTGAAGGGCTGTAATGTTGAATGATGATGATGATATATATATATATATATATATATATACAATATGTAACAAAAACCCTGTAGTTCGCGTTAAGTACGTTATCAGGATCAGTATTCAAACATATAGTAATAATTTTTTTTAAAACTCGACCAATATTTTTTTTTATTTAAAAAAAATAATTGTATGCAAATTGTATTTGGTTTTATTACCTCTGCTTTGTCCGGGGAGTAAGAGGATTGTCAAAGACTCCGCTTTACTTTGATTTAGCATCGGCTTGTGTCAGTAAGAGGTAATAAAACTACATAAAATTTAAAAAAAAAAGAAAATAAAAAATTGATCGAGTTTCTAAAAAAAAGTTATTTCTATAGGTTTCAATACTGATCCTGATAACGCTCTTAATGGTAACCACAGGGTTTTAGTTACATGTTGTATATATACCTGCCGCTAAATAGCAGTTCGCACACTGCTGTATTCGGTCAGAAGGAGCAGAAGAGAAGAGAACCAGTATAATTTCAGGTTGTGAGGCATTCGATCTCAGTCTTCAGATGTGACAACTGACACGACGCTTTTGAAGCCTTCTTGACAGGCGTCCATACACTGCAATAGCCACTAACCATCTGGTAGACTTACAGTCTACAGTACGTTCGTCACTTATTTTTTATAAAAAAAAAATCCTTAATATTAAGTTAATACTATGTAATTGCAGTCAACATAAACAGAGCTTAATTAAATCTTTAGCAACACAACAAAAACACGTCTCTCAAAGCTAACACAGTCGACTGGCCATCTCCGAAGCACATTTAGCTCCGTTTGCTTCGAAAACAAATGACTTTTCGCGTCAAGTCAACAGCCCAGAAACATGTTACGTCTTATCAGTACGACCCATAAAACAGGGCTCTTGGAGTAAATGCGCGGTGTCATCTGTTACGCTCGTGAACTAGAAGTGTTACGTACTTTGTTATGGTTTATTACACAGACTATAATTTAATATAGCTCATTATTGCGAATAGCAATATCACGTCCATGACCACATTTTCATATATACACATATATATGAGAAATTGGTCATGTATACATATATTGCTGTTGGTGGTAGTATTTATATCTATATGGTTGTATTGGTGGTGGTATTAACATTGGTTATATGAAAATTTGGCCATAGACGTGATATAGCTATTGACAGTAATGAACTAATAAATTATAGTCGGAATTATACTAACTTGGTAGACCCATGCTGCAGGTATATATTATATTATATCTATATGGTTGTATTGGTGGTGGTATTAACATTGGTTATATGAAAATTTGGCCATAGACGTGATATTGCTATTGATAGTAATGAACTAATAAATTATAGTCGGAAATATACTAACTTGGTAGACCCATGCTGCAGGTATATATTATATTATATCTATATGGTTGTATTGGTGGTGGTATTAACATTGGTTATATGAAAATTTGGCCATAGACGTGATATTGCTATTGATAGTAATGAACTAATAAATTATAGTCGGAAATATACTAACTTGGTAGACCCATGCTGCAGGTATATATTATATTAGTAACACGAATGGGTCGGCTCGACTGGGGTAGGACCACGCTCTCACAGAATACCAGCGTAAAATAGCAGCTTACTGCTCTCACGGATGGCAACACTTATATTATATAAACAGATTTTGATTCTAAATTGAGGATAGACATAGGATGTTTTTTATAAATATAAGTGTGACAATGGAGTACACAGTCCACCTGATGATAAGTGGTTGCTGTGGCCCATAGACATACATCTATCCTCGATTATAAATCAAAATGCAAATGCGTTTTGAATGCCTCGTTTCCAGTAAAAAGGGTCTCCGGTTCTCTACACTCACCATACGAAACACAGCAGCGTTTAGCTGCTATTTAACGCTGGTATTCTGTGAGGGCGTGGTCTTTCCCCGGTCGAGCCGACTCATTCGTGTTCCAACTATACCAGTAATATAGCTGCAGCATGGCTCTACCACGTATATCTATGATGATATAGGATGTCTATGAGACAGCATTCACTTACCACCAGGTGGACTGTGTGTTCGTTTGTTACCCTATTACTATAAAATAATACAAAATAAACAATGTTTTGCAGATTTCTTCACTAATTTAGTTGGTAGGTTAAAAACTCAAAATGTAGCCAAAGTTAAAGTTTATGCATGTAATTTACAATCATTAATGAAAATAAAACAATCATCAAGATTTCTAAATTACAAAAATGAATCCAAACTTTTATCGTTACGCTTCAGAGACTATACTTACTAGTTGGTCTAATTAGTTTTTAGTTTTTAGGTATTTATAGTTTATTTGAGTAACATCAGATTTTGTTAGCATAAAAGAAGACAGTTTAAAAATAATTTAAATTAAAGCAAAATAATTAAAAAAAGTCATATTACTGGCTTATAAGATTTAAAAAAAGATTGTGAGTGTAATTGTACACACGTACAAATTGAAACTTCTTTACGATAGATATATCATTCTTCTTTTATTTTATATTTTACATAAGTGGGTTAATTAATAGCATAGATAAATAAATATTAGCAAGCTAATTAATAGTATACCTACTCATGCAGCCCCGGCGGTGAAACGTTACAAGAAAACGTGACGTTTTTGTTTTTAATACCGTACTGAATTTCTCCACTACGTCAATAAAAAAAGTTTCACTTCAAAAATAAATTGCATAAATTTACAAAAGTTTGAAAACATGCTAAACAAATGATAAAGATTCAGTAAGAAACAATACAAAAATAATTTTACCTTCTTTGTCATAAAGTCTGAAAGCTTCTTTAAGCTCTTTCTGCAAAGCTTCATCATCTTCATCCAAGAAATGGGTCGCAACTCGAACGAATGAATCGAAATTGAGTTTTCCTGATCCTGAAAAAGTTGTGAATAAAATGTTTTAACTTACCGTCACCGTTACTGTTACGGTACGAGTGGTAAATTCCATAGTCGCCAGACGCTTGGCAAACGGGTTGCTAACCGCAGTTTTTCATTTTTAGTCGTTATTAGGAAGACGCTGCTATACATCTGCTGATTTGTTTCGCTCTGTCATCTCTAACAACACCCACGGAATATGTAGTAGTGGATATTCTTACACAGCCACTACATTGAATTTTAGTGGACTACGTTACAGTGTGATAGTTTTTCCTTGTGTACGTAACCAAGGCAATTATTCCTAAAACGGGAGAGGTCCGAGAGGACGAGGTGCAATTGCCAACCCGCTTGCCAAGCGTGGCAATCTATGTGGGAGGTCTATGTTCAGCAGTGGACTTTAAAAGGCTGTAACGGTAACGGGAGAGGTCCATATCCAGAAGTGGACTTGGCTTGGACAGCCAATGGGCTGATGATAATGAGGAAGAAGAATTTATAATCTATATCATATAAAATATGCAATTATATTAAATCGTATCAATCGCTATATTATGCTTATTGACGTACATATAATTTAAAATTAAAAATTTTGTACAGCCGACTTCAATATAAGTTATTTAAGAATAACTTAAAAACTATTGGTCTGACCTTGATCAAATTCATATGGGACCACACGAGAAGTACCAGCTTTCAAATAAAAAAAGAATCATCGAAATCGGTTCACCCAGAAAAAAGTTCTGAGGTAACACACATAAAAAAAAACGAAAAAAAAAAAACATACAGTCGAATTGAGTACCGGCTCCTTTTTGGAAGTCGGCAGAAAAATGGATTATTTTACCTAACTGCAAACGTCTAATTTCATTTCGCATTTTCATTCACCTGCAACTGCATTGTATCTTGGCAGTATGTTCCTATTCGCCAGTAGGATGATAGCTTAATAGACGACCCACTTCCTTGGAGATATCGTAAAAATTTATGTATTTGTGGGCTAGCTTCCAAGAACACTATTCTTATTAGTGACACAAATCACCGTCGGCCTTATAACAAGGACATAAGCATCAAATTCTATTGGCCTTCATTTACAATATTAGAGTGACAAATTCTAGCTAATAGTCCACCTGATGGTAAGTGGCTACTGTAGCTCAAAGGAATCTGTAACCAACTTAAAACAAATAATACTCTGCATATGTTTTTAATGAGTGTCCTGCCATTTCATCAAATATTTTATTTATAAATCAATCGTTGCAATGGCATTTTTCCGAACTACTGGTAAAATCATGTAATATATGTATAACATAAACCGACAACCAATGGAGAATAAGGGTTCTCGGTGGCAGCCTCGTACCGGTAAGCAAAATGTGGCAAGAGATGCGGTGAATCAATCAGCAGGTGGCTCAGGACCGTGCTTTGTTTTATTCTTTGAGGCCAGTCGTATGTTCCGCAGTAGACTTGTGACGGGCTGTAATGATGATGATAATGATAGTACGTTCAATATGTACTACTTGTAATGTCTATTGAATTTTTTTTTAAATTCTTTCCTAGTACTATAATCTCTTCGCCTTTAAACCAAGATACAGGCGTACATCATTTATCTTTTCTTCATCATTATTTTTTTCTTTAAAGTAATACACAAACAAACCTCAACGTGTCACAAATATATATATATATAAGCAAAATACCATTGATTTACTAACTGACTGACTCATCACGATATATCTAAAACAATACACCAGATTAACTTGAAATTCAGCATAGTAACTGATTTCGCAATGTAGACGATCACTAAGAACGGATTTTACGATAGTTCCATAATAAAAAATTATGATATTTTATATCTACGTTATTGTCGTCTATTATCGTTCGACCAGCGAAGCGGGCGGGTATCAGCTAGTGAAATTATATAATTTAAGTGCCATCTTGCTAGATCATTATGGCATTTTTCTAGAAATACACGGACAAAATCGAAATCATTTGTACGCGGTAGGGCTACGCTGCAGATATATTATGGTTATAGTATGCATGGGTCGCCTTGACCGAGGAAGAACCACGCTTTCACAGAATACCTGCTTAAAATAGCAGCTTAATGCTGCTGTGTTTCGTACGGTGAGGTTAGAGAAACAGAGACTATTTTACTGGAAATGAGGCATTCCATCTTAGTCCTCAGGGGTGACAACGACAGGGGTAACTCAATTAAAAATCTGCATTTTGATTTTTAATTGAGGATAGATTTTTTTTATATGATAAGGGTGACAAACGAGCACACAGTCCACCTGATGGTAAGTGGTTGCTGCGGCCCATAGACATCTACGAGTACATCTATCCTCTGTTACAAATGAAAATGTAGATGCGTTGTCACCCGTGAGGACTAAGATGGAATGTCTTATTTTCAGTAAAAAGGGTCTCCGGCCACCTGCACTCACCAAGCGAAACGCAGAGGTAAACCTCTACTTCACGCTGGTTTTCTGTGAGGTCGTGGTACTACCCCGGTTCGAGCCGGCCCATCCATGCGACAGCAAAAGCTGCCGCGTGGCTCTACCACTGTTAAAAAGATATAGATGTCTATGGGCCACAGCATCCTCGTATCTTATTTTTTTTTTAAATTAATATGAACAGTTGGTATAGAATAACATAGACTAAGATATCATGAAGCCAGTGTAGAAAGTCTCTCTCTCCCCGTCTCATTCTGTGAGTTTCGCTAGTGCAAAGTAACAAAGCAAAAATGTTTACGACAACAAAGTTTCTCATTACACGGTACCTATTTCGTTCAGACAAGATTTATATATTTCTAAATTAAAACAAAAAAAATGGGCGTGTCAGTGCGTGACTGGAATTTACTCCTGAAAAACGATTGTCTTAAAATGTATATAATAGGCAAAGGAAGTAAATGCACCCATATATTTATTTATATTGATTCATAAAATATATTACATAGAAATATGTGACTTATATTACATTATTCATTTCGCGCAATGAGATGCGCGAATATTAGTTGCGCAGAGGAAAACCATAACGGCTTCACTTTCTGTTAACGCTTGATTTCACTACGCCTTTATTTTGCATACCGTAAGTTATATATACACCGATTTTTAAAAAACAATCTCCAAAACGGCTGAATAAATCGAATATACTTGCATTCAATATAAGAATAAATTATTTCTCAGACAATAACTTCAGATGTCGCTGCTAAGACATACCGTATCGCAAAAATAAAACATACGTGTCAAATAAAAACAACCTTTCATTTTTTGAATTCGATTATTTTAAACTTACGTTAGTGTTAAATACAAAATTCAAATTTCGTCTTTAATCAATTTTGGCAAATCGAACTTGATTTTCTGCTAGTAGCCACCAGCGTGTGAATACTAACTTCGCCTAAATCAAGAGAAAGTTGTATTCCTGTTTAACATAGTTCGGGAGGCATGTAAATTCCTAGCAATTGTCAAAACGTGTACTGAATCAAGTAACTAGATGTATAAACTATTCACAGTTACTACTTTATATTACTACTATGACAATTAATATAATTATTTAAAACCGATAAAGATTGGTTGTAATTATCCTCATAAAAAAAAATTTAGACATGAATAAAAGTGCTTTGTGACAACATCATTAAATCAAATTTCATCTTTTTTCCTTAGTTTAGTAAGAAGAAACAAATGAAAAAAAATAACCAAAGTGTAACCCCCTTACGTGGGTGAGCTTACGAATAAGTGCCAGTTATAAGTTCTACAGCCTATATACGTCCCCACTGCTGGCTCAGGCCAGGTTAGGGTGTTGATGAACTTCACGGGCGGCGGCAGTCACTTACCATCAAGTGAGCCGCATGCTCGTTTGCTCACTCTAACAATTCCGTTTGTGTCGGCGGGGATTTAACCCGGATAACTCACGTACAATAAAATTTACTTATCTCCTATAAAAAAAACATGCAGGTTTCTTCACGATTTTTTCTTCACTGCCGAGCATGTGGTAATTCAGCACTTAAAATTGCAATTAACAATTTCAATAGTGCCGGCGGGCATCGAATCCGGGTTGCTCGCGTACTGTGTAACTCACAGCGGGCACTAACCATCTGAGCTACCACGGCTATCATTACTAATCTAATCAGATTACTTATATGTAATTACGAAAATGCAACATGTTGATTAAAACTGATTAAAATTGATTTATACGGACTTTATTGCATTTAATTTAACTTATTTTAAAAATTACAACATTTATATTGCTTTGCTGCACTCATGTTCACCTGGGAAGTAGATGTTTGACACTTTTTTAAAGTTTATTTAAATAAAATTAAACCACCTTAACTCTGTCAAAATTTGCTCCCTATATCTTGAGGGTGCTTCTTAAACATAAATTACACATAGATAAAACACTCAGGTCAGGAACAATAAGATTTTAGAATACTGAGATTTTTGAGGTAAAATTGGCTCTTACAATCTAATATCAAACTTTAGTGCAATATCTAATCAGTATTTCAAAGCAATAACCAATTTAATAGCTTTCGGGTAACTTTTGAGTGCTTTTACGAACAATTTTATGAAAATCCCGTGTGTTCCATTTAATGACTTCTTTAAGGTTTCCTTAATCTGGTTCCATCTGGTTCTATGAAAATTAAGTTCAATATTCCTTTAAATGATTTATTTCAGAATTTCGTCACCGCATCATTAAACATATTTATGTAACAATTTTTAAATAACACTAAATATTCTATAATACCAATCCTTTATCAAATTTTTATCTTTTAAATCTGTAGGGCCTCTGTAAAATCTAAGATGTTTTTAAAGTATAATACGTCTTTGGGTGAAATCGGTAAATACAGCAACAAAAACCAACCATTACTTCTTCTGGTACATTAAAATATTTTATAAGATAAAATAAATGTGATACTATCTAGGCACTAACTACATTTTCCATTTTATAGCATCAACGAATTATACGTAAAAACAAATTTATTGAAGAGACTACTTTTATATCACGTGAAATTACATAGCGCATTCTATGAT